ATTGTCTTATTTAGAATAAGGTAAATAATTAGATTACTGATGTCCATGTAAACGTAGTCAGTGAGGGAAAAAATTATTTGATCCCCTGCTGATTTTGTACGTTTGCCCACTGACAAAGAAATGATCAGTCTATAATTTTAGTGGTAGGTTTATTTGAACAGTGAGAGACAAAATAACAACAACAAAAAAATCCAGAAAACCGCATTTCAGTTTCAATGCCCTGGCTGAGGGAAGGAGGTTCTCACCCAAGATTTGACGGTACATGGCCCCGTCCATCGTCCTTTTGATGCGGTGCAGTTGTCCTGTCCCCTTAGCAGAAAAACACATCAAAAGCATAATGTTTCCACCTCGGTGGGGATGGTTTTCTTGGGGTCATAGGCAGCATTCCTCCTCCTCCAAACACAGCAAGTTGAGTTGATGCCAAAGAGCTCGATCTTGGTCTCACCTGCCTTGAGATCATTGACAAGTGTAGTTCTGGGCTGATTCCTCACCGTTTTCATGATCATTGAAACTCCACAAGGTGAGATCTTGCATGGAGCCCCAGACCGAGGGAGATTGACAGTTATTTTGTGTTTCTTCCATTTGCAAATAATCGCACCAACTGTTGTCACCTTCTCACCAAGCTGCTTGTCGATGGTCTTGTAGCCCATTCCAGCCTTGTGGAGGTCTACAATCTTGTCCCTGACATCCTTGGACAGCTCTTTGGTCTTGGCCATGGTGGAGTGTTTGGAATATGATTGATTGATTGCTTCTGTGGACAGGTGTCTTTTTTATACAGGTAAAAAAACTGAGATTAGGAGTTTAAGAGAGTGCCCCTAATCTCAGCTCGTTACCTGTATAAAAGACACCTGGGAGCCAGAAATCTTGCTGATTGATAGGGGATCAAATACTTATTTCACTCATTAAAATGCAAATCAATTTATAACTTTTATTAAATGCATTTTTCTGGATTTTTTTGTTGTTATTCTGTCTCTCACTTTTAAAATAAACCTACCATTAAAAATATAGACTGATAATTTCTTTGTCAGTGGACAAACGTACAAAATCAGCAGGGGATCAAATAATTTTTTCCCTCACTGTATCACTATTAATAAGGATTGAATTATCTCTGTATAATATGAGTCTTTAATTGCAAGATATTTAAACTATATATATATATATATATATATATATATATATACACAGTATATTCACTAGAGCATTTACAGCAGGATTCCTGCTCCACACATATTTAGAAAGTGGGCTTCATTAATGATTCTGATGCTGTTTTTATTTATATTAAGTTAAAAAGGCCTAAATCACTGAATCTTCTCCTCCAGTGAGCTGTTAAACTGAGAACCACTGCAACTGGAGTCGATTGGCTGAAGTCAAGAACCTGATAAGTGAACGAATCATTTAGACCGGTTTTGTGAAATGAATCAACAGATTCGAAATAAAGATTTGTTCTTAAAATTCTTTATATAGTGCATAAGTTAAATGGACCACTTTTAATTATGTTTTTGTAAATTATTAACCAAAAACTAATTTATTAGGTTACACCAGCAATCCATAAGGCAGTGCAACTGAAAGGCACCCTGTTTTCCAGCACAATATTCCCATATACACTGGAAATACTGGAAAGATATTTCCAGTATTTCTGCTGTAATTATGACAAGGCTGCTTGCTTTCAAACATTTATATGAAATTAACATGACTAATTAATGTAATGAATTTAATTAACCACAATTTATTTTGTGATTCCAGTGGTTATGATCTGTATTCCGAAAATGTATGTGTTTCTATAGTTATTGAGGAAAAAAAAAAAATATATATATTTTTTTTACATGTAATTGATTATTATTAATTTATTCAACAAATTTAATTCTATTAATTTAAATACTTCTAAGTCATTCTGTGGCCCCCGTAGTGGGCCCCGGCCGCCTGGTTGAGAACCACTGCCATAAGGTAACAACTGCTGGCCCTTTTTTACTGTGCGCATCCTTTCTGAAACTTGACAGCTTCAGTTTCGTTGTTAGTTTTCATTTTCATTTGATCATTAAAATTCCCCACAGTTTTTTTTTCTTCTTCTATTTAAATTGTGGAAAAGGCAGCACATAAGGTCCGGGGCTGTTGAAAACACATTTGGGGCTATAGCCCAATAGTCTGGACTGTGGTTACCCACCTGGTTACCAGCAGATGCAGTATGGAAGAAGAGAGGCAGGTATTGCTGCAGGTAGCTGTGACTGTATTAGTGATGCTTGAGTTGCAGTGTTTATAGAAGAAGGCCTGGGGCATGGCTTCCTGTTACATGACAGCTCTACAAATGGCTTTTGCCCATAACGGCATGCTAATGCTTACAGTAAAACACTGGTTATTATGGTCACAGTCAAGCAGCAGCAGGGGATGTCACATTTGTTCCTCTGACTGGAGTGTGTGTTTTTTCGGGCCAGGGTTCATCACCTTGTATTTGTGCTTATTAAAGAGAGTGTGCAAACATTTTCAGGCAGAAATCATGATTCATTCATTCAGTTCACACTTATATTTTGTTTAAATTTATGATAAATATTAAAACCACACATACTGTACATAAATTCCACAGAATCCGGGTGGCCGTAGAAACAGGAAATGTGTGAAGCCAAAATGTTGTTATATAAAATATTTCTTAATAAATTGAACGACTAAGTGACCCTACTTCATTTAACAATATAATGTGCATTATAGCTCAATCTGGATTTAGTTTTAAAAGTGCAATTGGTCATGTGTAGTCTAAGCCTCTGCAAAAGGTTTTTATTGTTTTTATGTCATTAAGAATGACAAACTTGGCATTTCTTGAAAATCATTCTCAGGAGTAAAGATCTTTAGAGTGCATAAGAATACATTTGCAGAGAGTGAAAATGGCTTTTGACAGGTGCAGACTTCATGTTCCTTTCACTTCCATCCATATGCAAATGTTAGATGTGAAAGAAGTTTTGTCTTTTAAGTTTGGTGAACTCTTGACTAAAATTCTTAATCATATGGTGAAAGACATTTGACCAACAAACTGCTTGACTCAATACAATGTGGAGTAGATGATAGGCCTATATTTCAACAATTTGAATTATTATTTGTTACTTTTATTATTCAAAAGAAAAGGCAAAAAGTGTTATATATCATCAGTGGAAGATATATTTCGCAGGGTCTGAAGTAATTTCTAGTTTTTAAAGTTTAATGTGACCTTTAAAAATTTACAAAAAAATAACATGTAATAACACAAATTTATTTGCATGCACACTTGGTCTGGAAGAAATTTTGTCTGATAACCTTTCCAGTGCACATAAGTATACTTGTATGTGATTATTAGTGAACGAGACCCCGTGCTTACAGACATGCTTGTATGTGTGTGTTTGTATTGTCATTGTTCAAACTAATTTTATTTACACACACACACACACACACACACACACACACACACACACACACACACACACACACATCAGTTCAGTTATCTCTTTTCTCTCTATCACTACCTGTTTTGTATTCATTCTCTTGTGTTGTCTTCCCTGCATCTCTCCCATCTTTCTTGTGCACTTGTTGTTTTTGATGCACCTATGTTGTCGTTCTCCTTCTATCTCTCTTTCTGTTTCATATTAATCCTTTTCTATTAAGCCTTCCTCATTCATCTCTCTCTTGGGAGAAATTATTAATATTAATGTTTCTCCCTCTCCCTCTCCTCTCTTTCCTCACCCTCTATCTCATCCTCTTAACATTACCTTTTCTCTATATCTGTTCCTTACTGTCTGTCTCTCGTTCACATTTCACTTGGATCTCTCTCTCTTTCTCTCTCTCTCTGTCTGTCTAAGTATTCATCTATTAGTGTTGATGATTATTTTCCACTGAAAAATGCAGAAGTGACATCCATTGCGGAAGGAATCTACAACTGTTAAAAGAGACAGTATTCAAGAGACATTGGAATCAGCCTACCATCCTCTTTGGAACACAGGAAGGGTCATGACCCAGTTGCCATGCGCATCACCACGGTGACCAGTCTTCCTAGTCCCTCCCCCCTCCTCCTCTTATTGGTTCAGCTGCTGTTGTGGCTCATCCTCCCAGGTCAAGAGGCAGTCGGAGCCGCCTCCACCTGTCCCGTGCCGTGCAGTTGTTCTAATCAAGCTAGTCGAGTGATCTGTACAAGACGAAACTTAGAAGAGGTGCCCGACAGTATATCAAACAACACACGTGGTTTGTTGTGTCCTCGAGCCCCACTTGAAATGATTAAAAATCTAAAAATGTTTTAATACCTGAAGGCATCCTAGATTCTTTGGCTTCTTTCTCTCCCATAGCATTTTACCACAAGAGTGCAGCTCTGACAGATTCCACCCTCCTCTTCAACACCCCCAACCCAGTGTGTTTAACACCCTCCTCCCCTCCCCTGCTCTATATACAGAGGGGATTGTGGCAGTAGGCCAGGAGGAAGCTTCTCGCTGCCCAAGAAAAGCAGTTCTGGCTACATCCGATGCACAGAGACAAATTGTTTTAGAACCCACAGCATATAGGATGTGTGAATATTCTCTAGTCTTTTCATTTATTTTTTCATCAGGTTTTAGCACATTCTAATATTATGATTGTTTCCACCATTACTGAGATTTACAGTTGCAAGCCATTTATATGGGGCATTTTTGTATTGGGTTTTGAAGGGACAGTTCACTCAAACATGAACATTGTGTCATTATTTACTCATCTTCATGTCACTTAAAACCTGTATGCTGTTCTGTGGAAAATGATAGCTTTTTGAGAAATCCTTATGCAGTACTTTTCCTTTCAGATAACAATTTATGTTCGGATACAAAAACAAACAGACACACAATAAAAGTAGTATTCCATCTGCTGTTTTAAAGCCGTATGATAATGGTGTGTGAGAACAGACGTAATGTTTTTAATTCATTATTCACTTATATTTTCCTCTCTAAAGTGGTCCAATGCCTCGTGCCAGGTTTAACATGGACACTAAACAGCATTCGTTTGTGTGTGTCAGAATTGAACGTGGTTCAAATGCCCGTTCAAATGTGTCGAATTACATTTGAGTGCTACAGCGGAGGATAAGATTTGCTGTGAACAGCAACTTTTATTCTGTTCCTTGCACAGAGCTGTCATATAAATTAATTTGAAAGTGACTTTATGTTGTTGTTTTCTTTGAGATGGAAAAAAAAAAGGTCACTATGACCTGAAAGAAAAAACTGCTTGAATATTCTTCAAAAATTCCCCTTTTGTGTTTCACTGATTAAAAATAACAGCATACGGTTTTGGAACAACATGAGGTTGAGTAAACAGTGACACAATTTTTATTTTTGGGTGAACTATTCCTTTAATGCGTTTTTCTTCATAAGAGTGACTGATAGCAACTTGCAGAACAACTTTTCTGTAAAGCACAACAATCAGTAATGAATGTACTTTCTTTGTCTATGACTTTATATTTTCTATCATGTACATCCTTCACAGGAACAAATAGATCACACACAAATTTAATCCTAAACTTGTACCTGTAATTTTCTCACTTAGGTGATAAAATCAGACACATTCAAACATTTGCGGCATCTGGAGATCCTCCAGCTCTCCAAGAACCAGATTCGCCAGATAGAGGTGGGTGCTTTCAATGGCCTCCCAAACCTCAACACTCTGGAACTGTTCGACAACCGCCTCACGCTGGTGCCATCGCAAGCTTTTGAGTACCTCAGCAAGCTGCGGGAACTGTGGTTACGAAACAATCCCATTGAGACTTTACCAGGCTACGCCTTTCACCGCGTCCCCTCGCTGCGGCGTCTTGACCTAGGCGAACTCAAGAAACTGGATTATATATCTGATGCAGCCTTTGTCGGACTCATCAACCTGCGCTACCTAAACTTGGGTATGTGTGGCCTAAAGGACATCCCTAACTTGACTCCCCTGGTGCGACTGGAGGAACTAGAGTTGTCTGGGAACCGTCTGGAAATCATCAGACCCGGATCCTTCCAAGGCCTGGAATCTTTGCGCAAACTATGGCTCATGCACTCTCAGATGTCGGTCATCGAGCGCAATGCTTTCGATGATCTCAAGAACCTAGAGGAGCTTAACCTATCCCACAATTCCCTGCACTCTTTGCCCCATGACCTTTTCACACCTCTGCAGAAGCTGGAACGAGTGCACCTCAATCACAACCCATGGGTGTGCAACTGCGATGTGCTTTGGCTAAGCTGGTGGCTGAAAGAAACTGTGCCGAGCAACACAACTTGCTGTGCGCGGTGCCACGCACCACCCTACCTTAAGGGAAAGTACATAGGAGAGTTAGACCAGAGCCATTTCACCTGCTATGCCCCTGTCATTGTGGAGCCGCCCACTGACCTCAATGTGACCGAGGGCATGGCTGCTGAGCTCAAGTGTCGCACCAGTACCTCCATGACCTCTGTGAACTGGGTCACACCGAACGGCACCCTAATGACCCATGGCTCCTATAGGGTCAGTATTTCCGTTCTGCATGATGGCACACTGAATTTCACCAATGTAACTCTGCGTGACACTGGCCAATACACCTGCATTGTGACCAACTCAGCTGGGAACACAACGGCAACTGCTGTCCTGAATGTGACCGCAGCAGACGTCAGTGTCAACTACACCTACTTCACCACAGTCACTGTAGAAACTGTGGAGTCTACGGGAGATGAAGATTCTGCATTGCGTGTCTTCAACGAGACTTTCATCCATATTCCCGGGCCTACACCTTCTGGGCACCTCTGGCATGAAGTCCCAACTACTGCCTCTTCTCTCTCAATCCTTGGCTCATCGTCTTCTCCCAGAGCAACCAAACCCACTTTCACTGTCCCCATTTCTGAGCCCAGCTATCCCTCTGGACTAGATGATGTGATGAAGACCACCAAGATCATCATCGGTTGCTTCGTGGCCATTACCTTCATGGCTGCCGTCATGCTGGTGGTGTTCTACAAGCTGAGGAAGCAGCATCAGTTGCACAAACACCTTGGGCCGGCACGAGCCATTGAGATCATTAATGTCGAAGATGAAATTGGACCGGGAACGGGCATCCGTGGCAGCGGCATCTCAGGAGGATCCACAGTACCGCAAGCAGGGTCCGGCGGAGGCGGACAGAGTTTGCGTCTGCACCACCCTGAAATTGTCAACCTCCCAAACCTTGCACGAGCTGAGCATCTCAACCATTACTTCAAGGCCCATCACTTCAACAATAACATGATGGGTCTGGGCCTTGGCGGAGGCTCAGGTGGAGGCCTAAACAATAACAACAACCCTTCACCCTGCTCCCAGGCCCAGACTACCCCAATCTCTTACACGCAGGTGCCAGTCTCTGCAAGTAGTACATCATGCTCCATGCCTTCTTCAATGCCTCTGCCGACCCTTGGCATCCACGGGTCACTGAAAGGCCTGATGGGTAAAGGGCAGAACCCACAGATTGAGCCGTTGCTTTTCAAGAGCGGCTCCAAGGAGAATGTCCAAGAAACCCAGATCTGAATTTGAGAAAGAGAGTAAGGGAGAGAGGGAGAAAGGTAAATGTACAGATAAAAGATGGAGAAACAGTATCAGGGAGACAGAAACAGATGAAGGGTATTGGCTGTTCAGCCCCTATGGGTATGTTCTCAGGAGTAATGAGAAAGGCAGACCCAGCATTGTATGAAATATTACCTACACAAGAATACAAGATACAGCTGTGAAATCACTACCAAGTACATACACTGGCAAAGAGTGGGGGAATTTCTAGATGGAAGTCAGGCAACCACTCAGCAGTTTAATATCACAGTCTTTACATTACTCTGATCCACACATATGAAGGGGATCATCAGACATCAGCAAACAAAATCACACTTGCCAATACGATATAAATCGATACGTTTTTGTGTAATGCAAGATTGATAATTATGTGCCAAACTTGCACCAATCTGTGCCAAAGCAAAATCTTTGCACATCAGCCTCACTACGCATGCGTACAAACACATTTCAGAAGATGAAAAGATCTGCGCGTATACTGTACTCCATTAATAAAGCAGATATGCTACAAAAATTAGAACCATACACACCATTAGGTAGGAAGTGTATATAGAAATACATGAACAACCTTAAGTATTTATGGACAGTGGCTGAGAATGAAAACTCACACGTGTAAATGGTTTAGTGAACCATAAAACTCAGATAACAAAATGGATCATTCAAATTTTGTAGAGGTTTGCAGTCCTACGAAGGAAAGATAGATTAGTAGACCAGCACTGTGTAGAGGGCTTATGTTTCGCGATGATGGACTCAGTTTTCTCCCCTTTCTCGAAGGCTCTCACAGTTGAGGGGAAGATATGAAAATGAACAAGAACATCAAAAAAACAATGAAAGATATACAAATTTTAAGAAAATATATAAACTATGAAAGTATACATGATATATAAATATATTTTCATTCAGAGAGATAAATTATGATGAATCTTTACATTTTTCTGACTGAAAGCCACGGCTTTTGAAGAATTAGCAGCTGCTGTTGTAGCGCTTTGTCACTTATAATTCCTTTCTCTGCATAAAAACAAAAATGTGTCTGAAACTGGTACACCCTCACAGGACTTAAGGGCATCCTGAGGAGACGGAGGGACAGAGATGGATATTCTGGAAATTGTGTTTGATTTCAGATACTTTGGCGTTGTTTTTTAAGTCTTAAAAGGTTTCCCTTTCCTGTTCTATAACTAACAGGGGTCATTGAGGAGAGGTAATTTTAATTAACATTATAAATACACTACTGTTTGATTCTGCAGGCATTTGAGACCCAAATTGGGACAATATCAGTTAACACCACTACCAACAGAATTAATCAAAAGACAGTAATGATGATAGTATGCAATGCAATGGAAAGAAAAACACTGTAAACGCTGATCTACATGCTGTTATACTGAGAAAAGATATTTTTAGTGAGATGTTTTAGTAAAATCCGATTTGAAAGTTGAGTAAAAAGAGGCTCCTGTTGACATTAAATTACTACTACTATCATCACTAAAAAACTTGAAAAATATCAAGTGTCAAAAGCATAGCGGATTTAGTCAGTTTCTCTGTTTTTACCTATAGAGGTGATGTTTGTTTTTTCATTGTGTAAAAAGTGATTGTCGCAACAGCTGATAATCCCCTCAGTAAAGCTGGAATAGCAGTGGATATACTGACAGTGACAACTATTTGCTTGATGCATTACAAAGCCACAACAACAACTACTCCAAACAAGGAAATGGATGGGCCATGAAATGACTCCCTCAATGGCCTGTCCCCTCTGTTTTGTATAAGACAAAAACTTTACCAGGACCCTGCTTTTTTGCCAACGTCAATCAACGAGATTCAGAACCGAACACAAACTCTGGTGATTACTGCAGGGGTAAAGTGGATTATTGCGAACACTGTGTCCAGACATGTGGACGGAACTACTGTTTGAGAAGAAAGCGAACAGAAGACAGCTTTTGAAAGGTAAGAAAAAACCCACTCAGTGAGCGAGATTGGAGTTTGGACAGCTTTTTTTAAATGAAAATGGACAAATAAATGACAACTATAGAAACTTATAGAGCTCTTTTAAAACAAAACTGTTATGATAATAAGTGTCTTTCATTATTTGTTTTTATCTAGTTTCTTTTTGTTTCGTTTTGTTTTTTCAAAATCAAGCGTTATCTTAATTGTAATATTGTTATTGTTATTATAATTAGCTGATATTACACTCGTTATAATTATGAAAAATGTTCTGTTAGCAGAAGTCACTTCGAAATAAAAATTTATATATATATATATATAATATATATATATATTAATTTCGAAGTGACTAAGTGATAAATGGCACACAAACTGGCAACTGAAATTGTGAAACTTGGTGGCATTGATTTGTTCTATGTTTTTGTCTTTTCTTTTTCTCATGTATTTAAAGGTATCACTATATGTAACCCTTAGAGCTTACAGCTTGGAGACAGTTCTCCCGAGATGCAGACAGAATGTGATTTGGCTGGTGGTAGCGTTCTTCTCTGCAGAGAAAGAGATATGAGAGAGAGAGACAAGGAGGAAAGAGAGAGACCGGGGTTCTGATACACACTTGTTCTCAGAATGTCACCCATTATCAGTGCCGAGAAGTGTGACTGTACCGTGTCAACACCCTGTTGCCACGGCAACACGCCTTCACACTAATGTGCCAAACACTGTCAGAGCCAGGGTGCCATCTTTGTGGGTCCCAGTGCCTGTATTTGTCAAATCTTGTTAGCCTACAACACGTACAAATATCCACACGCGAGCACACCGCCGTGTCAATTGTCATCCGACATATTGGCGCACCCATACCCTGGCACAGCGTCCCAACAGGTTCCTATGGTGAGGTTTCCCTGGCAACTGTTGCTTCTGTGACAGTCCCTATCACAGCGTTCAGGTTTCAAATGCAAATGCAAGGATGGAGCCAGTACAGGATGCCATTTACGAGGACAAAACCGTTGCCATCCGTGTTCTTAAATCAGAAATTAGCATATTCGCAGCACACTGCATATCAATAAACCTCCTTACTGTTGACATTCATGAACCTTGAGTAGCAGTCATCGAGATGTCCATATCTAACACACCGTTGATCTTCCATAGGCACATCATCCCCTACACTCGAAATTATCATATTCTCCCTCTCATGCTGGAGATGTGCATATGTTCATTTGCTTCTCGAGTGATTAACATACACCGTTGTTTGTGTGTGTGTGTGTGCATATGTGTGTACCAGACAGTAATCGTATTACATTTGTGCTCAAGGCATATGCTTTCTTTCCAAAGCAACTTACTAGAAAGTATTGCCAACGGATTGGTAGTGGGACAGGGCAGAGACTGTTATAACATATCACATATCTCATGATCTTCACCTAGCCTGCAACCTCAGATATATCTCGCTTCCTGAAGTCTTACAAAGCATGCAAAAGCTGTGACAAAGGTAGGAAGACAGGAGCCCTCTCTCTCCCTCGTAGCACTGCGGTATCTGAGTCACAGAGCCCAAAACACACACTCATACACATCGAGCCGATGAATCTCAGCTCTCTCATAAGCACGCTTTGCAGAGAAATACCCTGCCCACCAGCTGGTTAGGACTTAAGCAAAGAGCACCAGAGAATGTGGTGTCGCGGGTTTTGGTTTAACCATGTGTCTGTGTGTGAGTGAAAACAATGGAAATGGCCATTTCAGCTTTTGTAAGCTTATTTGAAGACATCCATGTATTTTGACCAATGTTTTTCATTGATATTGTTTCTGTTGCCCTCACGTGTGTGTGTGTGTGTGTGTTTGCGACATCTGTGTGTGTTTTTTTTTTACTGCATTTAAAGACTGTAGTGAGAGACGGTGAGAGTCAGACATCCATTTTAAATCCCCAGTTTAAATCACTTTAGCATATTTTCCTATGCTTCAGGCTTGTGTATGATCTTCTGAATGATGCTCTTAGCTAGAATGGAGAAAAAACAATTTTCAATTCCTACCTAATACCCCAATCGAGAAGTCGGGGGGCAGTCATGCCAATTTCCTACTGGCTGAAGTGGTGGGAGGTACTTCCAGCATTCATGATACATAATTCAGAAATTCAGACGTGCGACAATGGTCCCTGTTTTTGTGTGTGTGTGTGTGTGTGTGTGTGTGTTAAAGTTGCAGACATGCTCAGGCTTTGACAGACAAATCTAGGGCAGCTCTTGCTTTGGGTGTGGGGGGTAAATATTTTATTCCAGCATTTACTTCAAAGATTTGTATTTGGTCGTTTGTACTTTGGTCCTGGATTTATCAGCAGAAGGTCTATAGCATTGGTTCCTCAGTCTGAGTCACAAAACCAAGAACAACTTGCTTCTACTTGAGAGTGTGTTGCTAGAATATCAATTGCATCCAAACCATACTTCAGCCCTACTGCTGGTGATGGTCCGTTTCTAAAGCAGCTGCGAGGGATGGTGTCATTCTTCACATATAAAACCGGTTCATTGCAATTGTCAGGGCTAGACAGAACAGACAAATCTTTCATGGCAGGGTGTGGATGTAGCTTGTGTCCCTATCACTAACAAACACAGTTTTTACCAGAGTTGCATAGACCGTCACAATGCTCTGACACCAATGCTCCCAATTGTGAAAAACAGTATTGTGCACTATAATGCAGCAAAAAAAAAAAAAGTCAAGTAAATCGAATATCATGATATCATGATATATTTACTTGTTTTTAGAGAACACATCTCTAAAGTTTCTTTTCTTACTCGACTGGCAAATTGTTTAAGCATAAAACTTTTTTTTTATTGAATTCTCTTTTATGGCCTAAATTGATAAACTTTTATTGAATTCTGTGTTATTATTGTAATTTGCAACATATTTCTGTTATTTGCTGCTCAATGCACATAAAACTCTTGTCCTCTGCTCTGATGCCGAGTGAAAGAGAGCGAGAGGACCAGTGTGTTGTTCAACCCTGAAGACTTATTTAGCCCCTGAGATTGAGTGTGTGTGACAGATTTGGAATTGAGCATTAAAGCAGCTTGAGTGTGTGCGGCAAAAGTCACACATAATGATTTATCGTGTTAGGGAGCGTGTGTATGGTTTGTTTGAACATGTGCCTCATTTGCCATTGCAGTTGTTGTGTGGGCTTCCTGATATCCATCAGGACATTTATGTGCGTGTTTGTTTGAGGGGTTTTATGAAGAGAATGAGATCAGTTGTTCACAACTTCTCTTTGCGTCATTGCAGTGATCTGTACAAGAGCCTGCAACAGCTTGTCAAACACTGATTGCCCCTGAACACACACACACACACACACTAATGTAAGATTGTATCCTAGACCCTCATCTCAGTCAATAAAGAGCGTTTTTACCCGCCTCTTCCCTCGAACGCACATATGCGCCTACGGACAGAGGCATTGATAATTACATGTGACACCTCAGACTTGGAAACCGCATCAGTGTCTTCTTTGTAATTTTGTATAGTTTGTGACTTGTCATCTAATGTAATCCTCCATGACACAAACTTCTCAAATGTCTCTGCCATTTGTGATTGGATGGCACTTGACTGACTGGTAAATGCACATGGGCCAGACATGTATGTATGTGTACTGGTGCTTCTGCATGTCTGCAGTAATATCCTGCCACACCATGCACCTGAGCCCCATGCCATGACAAGTCCTAAGTAAGTCTTATTTAAAAGACTGCATTTTGACTTGCCTGCTTCAGCTCCTTTTACACCATTTCTAACTTTGAGAGATGTCACTAGCTTTTGTGATGGTGGTTATGGCCGATTAGCATCCTGTTTTGTGCACGTGTTTCCTGGAAACATCAGAAAGGGTATTGGGTATTGACTCCTTTAAAACAAAT